GCATACCTGTCGTTGGAATTGTGGTTGTAATTGGAGAAAGGTGCGTATCCTGTTGGAGATTTGAAATTGCTAGAGCTAAAAAAACGACACAGGGAAGCGATGAGTATTATGAAGACGTCCTAGAGTTGGTCGGTTGGTCGGTTAGTATTTTATAGTTCATCCCTATTTAGTTGTCTTTTTCTGAATTGTTTTTAACGCCGTGTAGATAAGAGATTAGCGGCGGCAGCGGGGGAAATTTGATGCGAGGATAGGCTCAGGTTCAGGGGATGAAGAAAAAAAATTGGAAAGAAAAATGAATATAAAACGGGGTGAAGAGTTGGTAGGAACAATGGCGGGTGCAAAAGAAGAAACTGGGAATGCAAAATAAAATTGATGCTATATACACACGAAGCAGTGTAGGTGAAAGATCAAAAGGAGCACGGGCAAGTAAGCGTGGTTGCAACAGCGGAGATCATCCGTCAGAGCGACGGAGTCCGGCCGAAGGGTGGAGTAAGGATGATTGATAAATGATGTCAAAATAGCAATAGATACAATAGATATTTCGGGCGAGCGAATTGCCACCCAAGGAAAAGAAAGCCCGATGTAACGATGAAAATCGAGCCTAATTGATATGTGCACTCGCATTCTCACATGGGGGAAAATCAAGGCGGAAGAAGCAAAAGTCAATCAAGCCGTGAAACAGGCAAAGAAAGATTTTTCCGTTTGCCGAATGGCGGATATGTTGTTGTGGCGCTGCCACGTGTGCGGGCTCGGGATAGTGGTGCGGTGGACGATAGTATAGACAATGAACTTACCCGTAGGAATGAAACGGCACTGGCCCACATGCTGTAATTCGGGCATTGTCTCCACCCACGCTGGTGCATTACTGTTCGTTGATACGCGCATCCACCAAGAACATATACAGCAATGGCTATCAATGCACTGGATAACAATAAAAAGCCGAGTTAGTATACTTTTACCACTCCAACACGGGTTTTCATTTCCAGCGCATGGGGTATATATAAACATACATCACACCAAAGACACCAGCTGGACCCAGTCCACCATCAGTGCGTGCAAAACCGCCGCATGCAGCGGCGCTTCGTACCTGAAAGGAATAGGTGCACGAATCGAGAGTTCCGACAAACGTCACACTTGCCGCTGGGGACACCAGATCCCGATCGCATAGGAAGGACAAGATAGTAGATTTTCGGCGGGATGAATCAGCAGGCTCGTGATCAGAAGAATTTCCCCCCTTCTTTCCGTCATGTTTGTCCTTATCATCGGTCTTGTCATCCTGATCTTTATCCTTATCAGGGCCGTTATCATCACCTTGGCCCAATACCTTGTCCTTATTAGGAGTTTGGTCTGTGGTTCCGAATCCACTGGCCTTCGATGATGTCAGCGCAGGACAAGGGGAACCGTCGGTGTAGTTAAGGACCAGGCTACGTCCGCGGAAAACGAGTTCTGATGATTGTTGCCTGTGGGAATATATATTCTTTAGCAGATGTTTCCCGTCCATCCAAAATGCCTAGTTTGTTACCAATCCACGTACCCTATGGAATACATTTTCCCATCTAATGTATAGTATGCGCTTACGTTTGCCCATTTGGACTTGTCCACTCCAACCACATCCTTCAAATCTTCGATAACAGGAGCGCAGATGTTTAATGTGAAATTTGCGGGATAATCGTATCCTTTAGCATGCCAACTCTCTTCCCTATCTTTATTGTGAACTTTCTTCCCATCTTTAATTACTGGCGGTGATAGCGCTATAGCATTAAGATCAAAATAGGCGCCCGTGGTTGGTGAGAATATGGTACACGGTTTTAGTCCATTTCGTAAAGGTTCAGCTCCGGAGGTAGAAGAGCATAGAAAGAGTAACGGGGGGGCTGCGATTAGGAAAGTCGACCTGGCGGGACGCATGATGGAAGAGTCTCGAGGCGGACTTGATCAGCTGCGCCAAGGGGCAGCAGGGAGACTGGAGACTGTAGGAAAAAGCAGAGAGCCACGAGGGGCTTCCACCGGAAGGAGGGAACACCGCTTATCGGGCAAAATCCAGGGGCAGCAGCTAGGCAGTAGATAAACAACAAGCGAAGAGTGATGGCGGGGACTGTACTCCCCGCGGCGTATGTGGATGGTTTTGGGCTGTCAGGTCGATCTCATGGATGTTACTGGCAGGTGGCATTGGCGCGCGCCAAGACCCCGCTCACCCGAAAGGAGAAGGATGCGCTAATCTTCTTTCGTCAATTAGCCGCGATCCAAGGATCCGAGCCGCGTCGACCAACGATGGCCTTATTTTTTGGAGGCGGTTCCGACCACGCCGGCGCTCCCCTGAGGGCCATTGACTAGCAGCATTGCCCCTTTTTCCACCGAGCTAGTGCAATGCGATACACAAAATATATTTAATCTCTCCCTTGTGTCTGTTTGATGCTTTCCAGATGCTTTCCAGATAATCTAAATTACCCCGTCTCCGTATATTTTCCGATCCGCTGCCATGGCTGGAAAGGCGGAAAACAAAGTTGCTGAAAAGAAGGCCGCATTTGCTCCTGCGGAGGCATTTCAGAAGCATGGATATGAGTTCTTTGGGCCGTACGTCTCCTTTCATCATCCATACCTACTAATTGGTAAATTTTTCGCTGTTACTTACCTGCCGCTTTTAGCCCAGGGACTTTTATCCTAATCATCGTTCTCCCGATTCTCATCTATATATTTCCCTTCATCTGCAACGATATTTCCGGATGTCCAGCACCATCCCTCCTCCATCCTTCTACTCTTGTGCTTGATACCTTAAAGCGAGAAGTTGGATGGCCTGAAAATGGTTTGAGGGGCCTTTACGATGGCCAAGTAACCCTCTATGTCCTTGGCTACTACCTTCTCCTGCTGGTTCTCCAAATTGTGTTACCGGGGCAAGAGGTAGACGGAGTAGTTCTAGCAGGTGGAGGAAGACACAAGTATAAATTCAACAGTGAGTAATGTTTTCAACGGGCCGAGATGACTTGACAGCAGTCTGACAGAGAATTTTTTTTATAGCCTTTCTTACCACTATTTTGGTCCTGGGGGGATGCGCTGTGGGGAGCTATAAATTCGGGGCCGAGTTCCCAGTGTGGACTTTTCTTTGGGACAACTATATCCAAGTCATCACCGCAAACCTCGTTATCTCCGTGGCACTGTCAATTGTTGTCTACCTTCGAAGCTTCACTGTTCCAGCTCCGGGACAGCCCAACCCGACACACCGTGAACTTGCACCCGGTGGTAGCAGTGGCAATCTAATTTACGATTTCTTCATGGGGCGTGAACTCAACCCGCGAATCACTCTTCCTGTCCCCTTTGTCAGTGAAGCGTCGAAAATATTCGATATCAAGGTTTTCTGTGAGATGCGACCTGGTATGTTGGGCTGGATCATTTTGCAGGAAGGGGCCAACATCGCGCATCAATACAAAGTCAACTCCTCGTCGATGTTCGATGTCGATACTACTCGTT